GAGTGCATTGACATCACTCGAGTAAGGCTACGGCAAATCTTGTCTGAAAGAAGGTGTCCTTGTGTTTTCTTCTTCCTCTTTTGTTTTATCTTCTTTAACGACTGTTGCATAATCCTCTTGCAATCTATGGGTATAAGGTTAATGTCTCTCTCTGCGTAAGTTTATTTCTATGGGTATGTTTTTTTCTTCCTCTTCTTCTTTTTATTTCTTTAATGGCTACTCTACGTAAGTTTATTTACAACCTATGAGTATGATTTTTTCTTCTCCTTCCTCCTCTTCCTCTTCTTTTTCTTCTTTAATGTCTACCTACTGTTGCATAAGTTCCTCTTGCTAAGGTTTTCTTCTCCTTCCTCCTCTTCCTCTTCTTTTTTTCTTTTTAATGTCTACCTACTGCTGTGTAAGTTTATTTACAAACTAGAGGTATAAGTTTTTCTTCTTCTCTTTTTCTTTAACATCTACTACAACCTATGAGTATAATGTTCTTCTTTTTCTTTAATGTCTCTGCCGTAAGTTTATTTACAACCCTTCTACTTCTTTTCTTCCTCTTCTTTTTTTATTTCTTTAATGGCTACCCAAGTCTGCGTAAGTTTATTTACAACCTATGAGTATAATTTTTTTTTCTCCTTCCTCCTCTTCCTCTTCTTTTTCTTCTTTAATGTCTACCTACTGTAGCATAAGTTCCTCTTGCAATCTATGGGTATAAGGGTTTCTTCTGCTTCCTCCTCTTCCTCTTTTTTTCTTCTTTAACGTCTCTCTCCTGCTTCGTAAGTTTATGTACAACTTATGGGTATAAGTTTTCTTCTCTTTCTCTTCTTTTTTTTCTTTAACGTCTATCTACTCCTGCGTAAGTTCATGCACAACCTATGGTATTTTTTTTCTTCTTTCTTCTTCTTTTTCTTTTAGGTTATCTCTACCTAACGTTATGTAAAGTACCCTACATGTCCCTTTTTTTTTTTCTTCCTTTAACGTCTCTCTCCTGCTTCGTAAGTTTATGTACAACCTATGTGTATATACTTTTTCTTCATCTTCTTCTTCTTTTTATTCTTTAAGGTCTATCTACTGTAAGTTTATTTACAACCTATGAATATAAGTAACCCAACGTTATGTAAAGTACCCTACATGTCCCTTTTTTTTTTTTTTTAAGAACTACGGTTGATTTACAGATACACAAAAAAATGGTGATAGTCAAGGACGTATAACAAAACACGCAACGGCCGGGCATTTACATAAGGGTATTGGCGTAGGAGTCAAGGGAGTCGGAGCCCTCGAGTCTTCCCTTCTGCAGCAGCACTTCTGTTCTCTTCTGCGTCGGGACGAAGGAAGTCAGACGTGCGAGTCCTTTCCCTTTTTCTCCTTCTCTGCGAGTCTCTCCCTTCCTTCTTTTTTTCTCTTTCTTCTCCCGAGCTCTTTCCCTTCCTTTTTTCTTCCTCTCCCCTATTCCCTTCCCTTCCTCTCCTTCTCTCCAAGCCCCTGCCCTCTCCCTTCTCTCCTTCCCTCCTTCCCTTCCCTTCCCTTCCTCTCTTCCCTCTCCTCTCCCCTTTCATCTCTTCCCTCCCTCTCTTCCCTTCCCATCCCTCTCCCCTCCCCATCTCTCCCGGCACGAGAACCCTCCCTCGACGCCCGCCCCAGCACCTCCCCACCATGACCCCCACCCGGAACCGCGTCCACCCGACGGCGCCCGCGGACCACGAGCCCCTGCTGGACACCTGCGAGGACGAACTCGAGACCCGCAGCGTCGAGGTGTCCAACGAGAGTCTCAAGCTGCGGAAGGAGCTCGGGCTGGTCGACGGCGTGGGCATCATCGTGGGCATTATCATCGGCTCGGGGATCTTCGTGTCTCTCAGGCGTGATCAGGTTCAGCGGCAGTGTGGGCATGTCCCTGGTGGTGTGGGGGTGTCGGGGGTGCTGTCCATGGTGGGCGCCCTGTGCTACGCTGAACTAGGTGAGTCTGGCCGATCTAGGTGAGTCCGTTTAAGGGGAAGAAAGGGGAATGATTTCTCTTTAGTTTATCGGTCGGTTTGTTAAAATTGAAGCGACCTAATGAATAAATGCAAAGGGACACCCATATACACATAAATAAGTGCCATGCATATACACAAATGTATGCACATGCACTGAAATAAATGCAAATGGACACCATATACACATAAATAAGTGCAAATGGACATGCATATACACAAAATAAGTGCAACCGGATATGCACATGCACTGAATAAATGCAAATGGACATGCATATACACATAAATAAATGCAAACGGACATGCATATACACAGAAATAAATGCATATCTATCTATCTATGACATATATATACACACTTATCTGTCTGTCTATACGAAAGAAATGCATGCCTAGACTGATATATATGTATTTATTACAATGTACGAATATATGCATGTAAGTATAGTAAGTGCCCAATGGGTCAGGCCTCGTGAAAATTTTAACAAACCGGCCGTATAACTGTAGCAGTACTATTTAGATTAAAATAAGGTATAGTTGTAGCAGTTCTATCTAGTTAGTTTTATGAAGGTATAGTGTTTTTTTCTTTCTTTCTTTCTTTTTTTTTTTGTCCGTAAGACCATGACAGTTCTACATCCTCCACATGAGTAGGTGCTCGAAAAATCCTCATTTATATCTGAGAACGTATGATTTATAACTAGTAATAAAAAATGTCGAATTAGCCAAAACGGATACATCTAAACCTCACTAGATATGATAATTATGTTTTGATTAATAACCTTACAATACTCGACAACTCAAATCTACAATCTATAATAGCTGATAAACCCATCTCCGCGACCTCCTCCACCTTCTACTCCTCCTTATCCACTTTCTCCTCCTCATCCTACACTTCCTCTTCCTCCTCCTCCTTCACCACCTCCCCCTCATCCACCAACTCTACCTCCTGATCTTCCTCCTCCACCTCCCCCAATCCCCAATTCTCCATCCATTTTTCCCCTTCCCCTCATCCTCCCTCCTCCTCCCATCCACCACCCCCTCCATCCCCCTCACCCCCTCCCCATCGCCTTCCCCCACCATTCACCCCTACCATCTCCCCCTCCCCATCCACCATCACCCTCCCACCACTTCACCCCACCACCCCACTCCCCCATCCCACCTCCTCCATCCACCCCTGTCACCCATCCCTCTAACCACCCCTCTCTCACCTTCCCCTCCTTCCTCCACCTCCAGGCACCATGATCCCAAGGCGGGGACTACGCCTACATCCACGAGGCCTTCGGATCCCTCCCGGCCTTCCTGTTCATGTGGATGGCCCTCCTCATCATCCTGCCGACGTCCAACACCGTGATGGCGCTCACCTTCGCCAAGTACATCATCAAGCCGGCTTTCCTGCTGTGCGACGGGATCCCCGACGTCCCCGTCCGCCTGATCGCCGCCGTGATCGTGTGTGAGTGTTATTGTATGGGATGGGGTGGGGAGGGTGGGGTGGAGGGGTGTGGGTGGGGGGGGGTTGGAGAGGGGAGGGTGGGTATGGGAGGGAGGGAAGATATATGTGTGTGCATATATATATATATATATATATATATATTATATATATATATATATATATATATATATGCATGCCTACATATATTCATATATGTATATGTGGGTGTGTGTGTGTATGAACACACACACACAACACACACACACAGACACACACACACACACACTTACATACACACACACACACACACACACACACACACACAGACACACACACACACACTTACATACACACACACACACACATACACACACACGCATACACAAATATATATATATATATATATATATATATATATATATATATATATATATATATATATATATATATATATATATATATATTTGGATTTGTAGACAAAGAAGAAAAATAGATAACTTGCGGCTGTGCATGTGCAATTGTACATATGATGCGTGTGTAAAAAAGATCCATGCGTGGGTGTATATGATCAAGTATAACATTCAACCTCGTTTTCAGTCTTAAGAACAAACTGGAGACCAAACCTTCAGACATGATAACGGTGCCACGGTTAAAACTGTCGACTCACAGAGCAAACGGTTGTGTTTACAGTGTGTTTTATGCAAGGAATTCTGGGTCTGTGTAGAGAGAGTTCTCCGCCGCCATATTGCGCCCGTGGAAGCTCCTTTCCTGGCTCTGTGTCGTAAAAAAAGAAAGTGAAATGGAAGGAGAGAATTGAATAGAAGAGGGACGTGGGAAGTAGGGGGTATGTGTGTTCGGAGCGAGAGAGAAGACTCGTGGACATATAAGCCCGAACGCACACGCACACACTCGCACGCGCATTCGCACACGCACACGCGCATGCACATACACACACACACACACATACACACAACACACAACAAACACACACACACATAAACACCATAATATGTGTCTGAGCGTGTGTGGTAAACATCAACGTCTTATCTGAAAATAATTAAAATGTGATGGAATTTCGCACGATTTTTTCGTTAGTCCTATTATTTGAAGAGAAAATAATCGCGGAAGAAGAAGAAAAAACTAAATAGAGCCATTTTGTGCGAATTTCTGTTCTTATTTATTCTGCATTTACAGCTTATCGTAAACGCATCCCGACAAATCAATTTACATTCGTCACGTAACCCCTTCAAAACAACAAATGGCCTCATTCTCTACAGTAATTAAACCCTAATATGTACTCTCTCTCTCTGCGGTCAGTAGGTCAGAGTATCAATTAAAAAAAAAGAAAAGATCACTGCAATGTGTTGTGTTGACTCTCCTTTGCATTAATTGGGTGCAACCTATCAACAACAGGCCCGGGACACACGTACTTCTGGGAGGCGGGGTCGGGATGCGGGCGGAGGGATACGAACATATAGACGATCACGCTTTCGGGGCCTCACGTGCTTTTAGCTTGCACGTGCTTGCATGCAGTTATCGTGTTCTTTGTGTATTGTCTTTCTGTTTGTTATTTTCTGTCTATTTCTTTACGTTGTCTCTCTCTCTCTCTCTATTTCTCTCTCTCTACATCTCCCTCTCTCACATGCACACCTACACGTCCTCTTCCATCTCTCTCCCATCCCTGAGCATGTGTAATTTAATATATAATTGCTACGGGTCAAGTGAACATCAATTCTCTCATCATTCTCACCGATCCATTTGCTGACCAGACTTCTTTGGGGTCAAGAGCTCTCTCGCTTGGAATATTTTCTCTGCAAGTTTCTCTTTCACCGCCACGTGTTTCTTTGGGATTTTATTGTTTTCCTTTTGCTTATAGAAAGAGACATAACATATACGTATGTTTATATACATATACATATCTATCTACATGTATGTAGATGTGTATTTATATATGCATGTATGTATATTTGTACGTATGCATGTCTGAATATATATATGCATATGTATATATATATATATTATATATATATATATATATATATATATATATATATATATATAGGTATATGCACACACACACACACACACACAAACACAACACAACACAAACACAACACACACACACACACACACACACACACACACACACACACACACACACACACACACACATACAGTAGGTATATTACATATGTATGCATATATGTATATGTATCTACACATACATACATAAAGATAGTTATATGTGCATGTGTGTGTGTTTAAATTTGTATTTGTATATGTATGTGTTTGCGTATGTGACCTTGTCTGTAGTTATACGTATATGGAAGTATTTATGCTCGCTTTTAAGCTTTTGTCTTAAATCTACAAAACAAATCAATGAATAACAAAGAGTACAACCAATGTCTATCCCCTCTATGATAACAGAGCAGCTTATTCCATAACGATCTATTACATAAGTGTACCAACAAGGTCCCTTCGATAATGAGGACTTGTTTGGGTGGTTCTGTCCGCCGTCCATTTGGTTTTGTTTACAATTTTTGTTTTACATTTTTCTTTGTTCATTATGGGTTTTCAGATGGTAAATGTGTGTTCGTTGCTAGCTTTTATTATTGTGATTGAGTTAAGAAACAAGTGGATTGCTTACTGGCGTTTTATCTTGTGTAAATAGATCATTTTAACTACACAACAAGGCGTTCTGCACACACGTTTTATCTGATGGGGACAATACTGTATTATTCGTGTACTAAATATGTACTTTTGAAAGCTAATATTCATTACTAGATGATTACGAAATATTTCATTGAAAAATTAAAAGATATTGTAACAAATGCTGAATGTTATTGAAGATTAACTGTACTGTAATACAATGTAAAATATGTTATTGAAAGCTTGTCCATTGTTACTCTCTTTATCGCTATATATGTTAATGAGAAGTAATATTATTGTTATTGAATATTAACGGTCAACGTAATATTGAGCCATCGGATGAAATACAAACTTAATTAACACCAAATATAAGACCAAAAGCTTATATAAACTTAATAAACACCAAATATATGACCAAAAGCTAATACAAACTTCATAAATACCAAATATAGGACCATAAATTAATACAAACTTAATAAACAATATGGACCATAACTAATACAAACTTAATAACACCAAATATAGGACCAAAAGCTAATGACATATTGAACCATCGGATGAAATATGAACTTAATAAATACCAAATATATGACCAAACGCTTATACAAACTTCATAAACACCAAATATATGACCAGAAGCTAACATCCTTTGCACCCCGATCCCTCCACAGGCTTCCTAACCTGGGTGAACTGCTCGAACGTGAAATGGGCCACGAAAGTCCAAGGAGTTTTCACCGCAGCCAAAATTATGGCTCTCCTCATCATCATAGTCGCGGGCATCTATCAGCTGTGCGATGGGCACGTCGAGAACTACCAGGATGCCTTTGATGGCACCAACTGGAGCATTACTTCCATCTGTACAGCCTTCTACCAAGGGCTCTTCTCCTTTGCCGGCTGGTACGAGAGTGCTGACTTGTTGTCTTCAGTAGAATGATATTTAAATGTGGATATTTTATATGCTCTACATATATGGCCCTTTACACATAGATCTCTAGCATATATGGACATTTACATATAGATATAGATCTACATATATATTTACCCATAACATTTACTACATATATGTACATATATAGATCTACATATATACATTTACATATAGATCTACATATATGGACATTTACATATAGATATAGATCTACATATATGGACCATATATGGATAGATCTCCATATATGGACATTTACATACAGATATAGATCTACATATATGGACATTTACATATAGATCTACATATATGGACATTTACATATAGATCTACATATATGGACATTTACATATAGATATAGATCTCCATATATGGACATTTACATATAGATATAGATCTCCATATATGGACATTTACATATAGATATAGATCTACATATATGGACATTTACATATAGATCTACATATATGGACATTTACATATAGATATAGATCTACATATATGGACATTTACATATAGATATAGATCTACATATA